CTTGTGATCCTCCTGCCTCAGCCTTTCTAGTCACTGGGATTACAGGGGTACGCCCCACATCCAGCTATTTGTCTTGTTTTTAATGCTAAAAATGTCTTTGATACTAGAAATACAACTTTATTGATACAAGAAGGCCATATGCTCAATTTGGGTTTCCATGTTTCCAACTTTAATGTCATTTATAACTTTATATCTATTGTCTATAATTTTAATTTTTAACCATAATTTAGCCTGTTATGCTGCATATATTATGGCAGAAAGTCTCACCATTGACTGACTACTGTGATGGTCTAGCTTAGTGTTTATCAACCTCAACACAATTGACATTTTGGGCCAGATGACCCAGAGAGATAGTCCTTAGAGCACTAGGATGTTTATAATTAGAATACTTGACTTTTATGTACTAGATGTCAGTAGCACCCTAATCCTCAAGCCCTAGCAACTAAAAATGCCTAGAGACATTGCTAAATGTCCCCTGAGAGGTAAAATGACTTCTGGTTGAGAACTGCTGGTGTAGCTCATTTATTTTGCTGATCTAAACTCTATTCCTATTCAAATCCTCATGAAACAGAAAGAAAATAGCAATTTCTTTTCTTTCAGTTCAGTTCCATCTTCCTTTAAATATAATCAGAAAATTCCATCAAATTCTAACAATGAAATCTTCTCTAAATACTAAATATGCCTCAGTCTAACAGTTTACATTGAGCTCTGTCAGGGCAAGAAACTTGTAGTGTCTATCTTACTCACATGAGTGTTGGTGAGCAAGTTTGCAAAAAAATAAAAAGAGCTTCATTAATGTTTATATGTTTGTTTATATTTCAAGGTCTATTAAAAAACAAAACAAAATAAAAATCCAGATAACTACCATTTTTCTCTATAGTAAATAGACTTTTCCATTCTTTTTGTTTTTTAATTCCTTAAGGGCATTTGTTGTCTGGTCCATATTTTGGCAGGCAATTATTTTCCACTTTTACTTAATTTTATGCCTTTTTGCATGTTTGTTCACTTTTACCTCATTACTTTGTATTCCTATCTAATTAGAAACTCTTGAAAAAGATATGCCTCTCCTGTGCTCCCTACTAGTCAGACATATGGTTAAACTAAGTAGAGTGCATGCTTAGTGAATACTGGATTCAATTCAACTTCTTATACTGAAGTGTATGAGAACTGAATATTTTAGAATATGACAGATTCCCACTAAGCTTACCTCCAGAAAGTGCAAAGAGAGGGAGAGAGAGAGGAGCTAAAATGTGTTAACATTTCTAGTGGGACTGAACCTCAGGTACTCTGCCACTGAGCTACATCCTTGGATCTTTTTGTTTTTATTTTTTTCTATTATGTGAAGGATCTTACTAAATTGCTGAGACTGGCCTCAGACTTGGAATCCTCCTGCCTCAACCTCCGAGATTGCTGCGATAACAGGTGTGCACCACTCACTGTTCCTTGCTAATGCCTAGATTCTTAATTTACACAAAGGGCGTTATAAGACTATAAAGCTTTTGCTAGTATTTAGTGAGATTTCTCTGCCATCATCAAATTTTTCATTTGGATTTGGCTTTAATTATTCATTTATTTGACATATTTTAAAGGATGTACAAAATGTTATTTTATCATAAATAAGCACTTTGGGGGCATCAAAGCAAATGATCCGCCCCTCAGAGGTTATTCATAAAGTAAAAAACAAACAAAACAAAACAAAACAAAAAACCCCATGATATTCTTAAAATTTAGCTAGTTTGAAAGACCTAGGCCTGATTTCATATCCAGACTTGACTGCCTGAAAAAGTCTGTGCTCTACCATGCCCGCAGTCTTCCCTCCAGAGTATAGACTTTAATTAGAAAGGTAGGAAAATATTGAAATAAGCGATGAGAAAAGAAAAGTAAAAATATGGCTAAGAGACTTTGAGATTTGGAAATGTGCTGTTTCTTTCAATCTTTATGGGGCTTAAGATGGGTTTTGGAAGAAGTAAAATTTATGGCATACCGTATATTACGTTTCTTTGACCAATGTATGTGTTCTGGAGATAATTTGATGCTTTTAGTTCTTTAAATATTTCTTCTTAAATAAATCCATTCAGTCCATTAACCATAGTTAATGTTTTCCCACTGGTTTGTACATGTCATAGCTAAAGACCAATGTAGACTAATGGGGATGGAGAAAGAAAAATGAGTACATTCATGAATTATTCTCTGTTCTCACTTTAGACAAGTTAATTTTTCTTAAATTATCAGGTTCTGCCTTAATCATAGGCCATTTGTGGTTATCAAGAAATAAATGTTTGTATGTTTGGCTTTCACAGTCTTATGTTTCACCCTAAAAGCCAGGTTCAATTAGTCCTCTGACACCCTATCACGAAACATTCAGAGTAGGAATCAAAACTTTTAAAACATAGATAATTCTTAGATTATAAAATTGTTCTCCCAATGAATATTGAACTAAGATTGGAGGAACACTGTTCTATTAAAATAACATTCAAATATAATTGTATTAAGAGGATAACTTTTATTTTCAGAATAATCATATTAGAAATTTTTATTTTTATTTTATCATATTGGAAATTTAAAGAATACTTCTGTCACATTAGCCTAGGTGGATAATTCAAACTTCACCCCATGCCCGCAGTCACAAAAAATAAAACTTTACCAAAATTACCTTTTAGTTTGTAAGAACAAAGGGCAAAAGATTACATTTCTTGGTGTGACCGCAGTATATTTGGATCCTCCAGTACCATGAATGTAAGGAAGAACTGGTTTAGGTTTTATTGAGACTGTTCATTGAATTTTTTTTTTTTTAAATCTGGTAATGGGGATCGAACATGTGGCTGCTTTACCACTGAGCTGCAATCCCAGTCCTTTTGATTTTTTAATTTGAAGATCCTGCTAAATTGCTGCGAGTCCCGCTAAATTGTGCTTTGAACTAGTGATCTCCTATCTTAGCCTTCACAGTACTAGGATAATAAGCATACACCACCACTTCAGGCAATATTTCATTGACTTTTAACATTTTTTTTTTTTTTTAATATTTATTTTTTAGTTCTCGGCGGACACAACATCTTTGTATGTGGTGCTGAGGATCGAACCCGGGCCGCACGCATGCCAGGCGAGCGCGCTACCACTTGAGCCACATCCCCAGCTCCAACTTTTAACATTTTAAAGCAACGTTGTTTACAAAATTTTATTAAAACTTAACTTTTATTATCTTCCACATTTATAATACATAAAAATAATTTTATATTACCTTAGTAATAGTCTCCTTATAAAAATTTTAACTTTATCGAATTTACTGAAATAAGTACCCTTGGGTGGGGAATGTGGCACAGTGGTAGAGCTTTGATTATTTCCCTCTCTCTAGAAATATTAGCAACATATATGCTGCCAGACTTTTCCATGGCATTGCCCAGGGGAAATAAATCTATGTATCTATGTTTTAAAAAATATGTATCCATTATTTCATTTAACAATATGGTAAGACAATTTTTAATGTCCACACAAATAAGGTCATCTCATTTTAGAAAATTGCAGCATGGTCTTCCATAGAAAGAATGCACAATTATTTATTTAGTCATTCCTATTTTATGAATATTTAGGTTGTTTTGAACTTTTACAGTTACGAATAATATGCAATGAAAATACTTGTACTGGCCTCTTTGGGCTCACTGTTAAGTGCCCCTGGGAGAGATACTAACAGTAGATTTTTGGCGTGGAGAGGTATGCATAATGATTTTGAAAGTGGTTATACTTGTATTCCCTCCAGTTGTACATGAATATACTCATTGAATTTGAATTTCCTCCATAAAGGTGAGGTTGAGTAACCATTTATTCAAATCTTGACCATTTTTATAATTTCTGCATTGAATTACCAGTTTATATTCTTGGCTCAGTTTTCATGTAGATTTCTTTCTTTCTTCCTTTAAATCATTTGTTGATACTTGTTATGGAATATCTTCTGTTAGTTGACTTTTCATTCTTCGGGTCTTTGGTCATTCAGGTGTTTTAAATTTTTGTGGTTAAATTCATCACATTTTTTAAAATGACTTTTGCTTTTAGTGTATTATTTCAAACAGACTTCCTGACTCCAAAGTGGTGCACATTTACCTATATTTTCTTTTCTTTTTTGGTACTAGGATTGAATCTAGGTCAGTGCTCTATCACTGAGCTACATCTCTAACCTTTGATTTATTTATTTATTTTTTGAGACAGGGTCTCACTAAGATGCCTAGACTGGCCTCAAACTTGCAATTCTCCTGCTTCACCTCCCATGGAGTTGAGATTATAGGACTGTGCCACCACACCTGATTTGCCTACATTTTCTTTCAATAATTTCTTATCATTGAGAAATTTTAAATTTTTATTATACTTTTGTGAGTGGTATAATATAAAATCTAGTTTTATTTTTTAAATGCTTAGCTAGTTCTTTTCATTGATTTGAAATACCATGTTATTTTTTCTCATTGATTTGAAGTTATATTTTATTATATTTCATAAATATGTGTTTTAGTTACACACACATATGTATAGTTTAAATAAACATACTAAGTTAGTGCTATGATTATTCCCTACTTTATAAACAAAGAAACTGAAGCATGAAAATATCAAATAACTTGCCCAATAATAGTCAAGAAATAGTGAATCAAGAAATAAGACCTGGAAGACTGGATGTAGATCTTAACTCTGACATTATCTGTAAAATTCCCATTTATAATGAGTCTATTTCTAGACTATTCTGTTTCTTCAAACTACTTATACATTGTTGCATTCATATCTCATGGTTCTAGTTACCACAAACATATAATTTATATTTAATATATATTAGGACAAGTTCCCTGTCTTTGTCTTTTTATTTTTTTTTGAAAAATGACATTAATTACCATTGTTAATTAAATCTTCTATACAAATTTTAGAATTTCACAAAAAATCTGTATGTTGAATAGATTTTGCTGAAATTATATTTGTAATTTGAGAATCTATATTTTATTTATTTATTTTTTTTCATCTGAAAGAGTTTTATTGAAGGAGACATCTGTGAACTATAAAGAGGAAGAGTAGGCATGGTCTGACACCAGTGAAAAGGAGAGTAAAAGAATGGAGAATTGGGTGAAATCTCAGAGAATAGCACAGTCTAAAGAAAATTCTGGGTGAGTTAATGGAGTCCTTCATCCAATGCTATCCATTATCGGGGATTTGGATGCAGCATTAATAACCCTGCCATACTCATTCATTGACTGGAAAAGTAAGAACACAGTGGCAGATCCCATGGAGATAGCAGCTGAGGTCTGAGTCCACTCTGCTTCCCACAGGACGATGTTTGAGTGATACATTTCCCAGGGCTGTCATATCTTTGTAAGTACCAAAGTCTTCAAGTTTTTTCATTAATATTTGGTGGATACAAAGACCATAAATCATGCCACCAATTTTACCTGTACTATTTGATTACCATTATGAAACACATTATTAAGAGAGGCTAAGATCTCTATTATCTTAATATGATTTTGATTGTTTATGTATATTTGCTTTAAAAAGTATTTGAACTGTCTTTATCACATATCATGATAATTAATATAGAACACAAGCAATATTTTATTGATATTTTACAATACAAAATCATTTAACATACCAGTTTGGAATGTTAACTTAGTAAACCCTCACTAACTTGGACTAATTAGAGTTTGAATAAATTATATTTTAAAATAAATGTGGTTATTATTTGGTACTACACACAGTAATTGCAAGTAGAACAAATATTGACTCAGAGATGACAAATGATATAAAGACAAAATGACTAATGCTAATTAGCAGACTAGTTTGTGGAGAGAATATATGTTTTAAAGTTCATTCTCTTAGCTGGGTGTGGTGGTACACATCTGTAATCCCAACTATTCAGGAGGCTGAGGCAAGAGGATAGCCAAATTCAAGGCTAGCCAGGGCAATTTAGTGTGACCCTGTCTCAACACAACAACAAAAAGAACTGGGGATGTAGCTCAGTGGTAGAGCACTTCCAGATTAATTCCCCAGGATCACATACATACTCAGTTCAATGGTAACATGTCCCTGGGTTCAATCACAGTGTCTGTCTGTCTCTCTCTCTCCCCCGCCCCACAACACACACATAGCTTATTCTCTTAAAATCTCCCTACAATCCTCTGAAGTACTACTGAACTATATAATACAAATAACTCATATAACATATAAGCATTCGGTGCGCAATCTTTCTTCCTAAATAATTCAAGAGTAACCTAGGGGCTGAAGGTCCAACTTCTGCAACTGAGTGAAGCCAGAGGACTAGAGAAGCAAGATGCCTTAGGGGAGTCCAGCAATTTCTGTTCTTCCTTCATTTCAGATCTGCAAATTGCACTTGACTTTTCCTGACCCAGTTATCAGAAGGCCACAGGGTAGAAGATTTTCAATCATCAAAACAGACTAAACTGGCCCATTCCATCCCCTACTTTTCTCACATTTGTCTTCTGTACCTTACTAATATATATTCCAATTCAGTTCACCATGCAAATAATCAGTATTTTTAGCTAATATTTTTTAATGATAATAAAATGATTTTTTATTAATGATTTTATTAATGATAATAAAAATTTTTAATGATAGTAAAACAACTTTAACCCAAATATTTCAAAATTTTCAAATATATCCCCCAGGAACTTAGAAAAATATTCATCATTTAATGATAGCTAACACTTAGGAGATATGTCCTATGACTTGTTCTGCACTATCATGGTTAATTTTGTGTCAATTTGAGTATATCACAGGTGCCCAAATTAAAGGTCATTTCTGGATGGGTCTATAAGGGTGTTTTTGAATGAGATTGACGTTTAGTTGCTTTTGCATGTGGGTTTTTTGTTGTTTTTGTGCTAGGGATTGAACCCAGGGACTATGTGCATGGGAGGCAAGCACTCTACCAACTAAGCCGTATCCCCAGCCCCCTCTTACTTGTTTTTTGAGAGGAGGTCTTGTTGCCTAGGCTGGTCTTGACATATGGACTCCGCTGATTCTACTACCTCAGCCTCCTAAAATAGCTAGGATTATAGTGTTTGCCATCACACCTAGTTTGAGGTTAACATTTGAACTAGTAGACTCAGTAAACTCCTTCCCAATGTGGCTGGGCATCATCCAATTTGCTGAGGTTCTGAATAGGACAAAATACAGAGAAAGAAGGAATTCACCCCTTTTTTTCCTGCCTCACTGTGTAAGCTGGTACATCTTATCTCATCTTGCTCTCAGACTGGATTTAAATCAACCACTTCTCAGGCCTCTGGATTTGGACTAAAATGCACTACTGGCTTTCTTAGAGTTCCAACTTGAATGTGGCAGATCATGGAACTTCTTAGTCTCTAGAACTGCATTAGCCAATCTGTCCTAAAAGGTTGATCTGTTTTTTTTTTCTCTATATACGTATGTATCTCCTATTGGTTCTTTTTCTCTGCAAACCCCTAATACAAATGGATCCACTTATTAATCTTCCCAAATTCCAAAGAAGTTTAATAACTTATTCAAGGTTACATAGTTGGTAAGTAGTGGCTTCAGGATTTGAATCTAAGTGGCTCCAAGCTAAATATTTTTCTGTCATTACTGTGAGTTTCTCAAACTATAATACATTATTTAATTCACATTTAAAAAGCCACTATTACCGAGTCCATGGCAGCACAGTTGATTTTAAAATTGTTTTATTTACACATACATTGTACAAGCAACTAATTAATTTAAATTGAAAAAAATGAAGTAAAGATTTATAATTATATAATTATGTTTTTATATACCCTAATAAGTTAAAGTTAATTATGAGCTAATATAAAAATATCTTCCCTTTCCTAATTTATAGCAGCATATTTTCATCTAAATCCATTATATATGTATATATGTGTGTGTATATATATGTACGTGTGTGTGTGTGTGTATTTAGTTAGTTAAACATAGTACAGAAGTTAAAATGATTTAGGTCTGGGATGTTAGCTCAGTGGTAGAGTGCCTGCCTAGTAAGTATGAGGCCCTGGGCGTGATCCCCAGTTCCACCAAAAAGAAAAAAAAAGAAATTAGATGATTTAAAGGATATAAAAAAAAGAAAATAATCTGAAATAAGTAATTCAGATGTATATATTCAGAAAATGATACTGAAGTTAAAGAATGTAACTTAAAAAAATCAATACAGTGTCCTTTGAAGTTAAATATGTGACTTAAAAATCAATACAATGTCCTTTTCGTTCCCAATCTCCATATCTGGTAGGTTCTGGGCCTCTAGGTCCACCTTTTTCTTTGGTAACTGGATTAACATCATCTGGAAATTTTTTCAGTGGTTCTTTCTCTAAATGGGAATCCTCTGGTGCATCAAAACGACCTACTGGTAACTTTGGCTTCCTAAGGGGTTGTTTGACAGATTCAGACTTCCCTTCTTGAGAAGAACTCATTTCCCTCAAAGACTGACACAGAATTGGTGATCTTGCAGCTCTCCATGCGGTGGCAGTGGTGCTGCCAAGCAAGCCCACGAGCCCTGAAGCGGTCATGGCGCCGGCTCTCGAAGCCGAGAATCTATATTTTAAAATATTGGGGTTTTAATCTATGAATGTGGAATATTTCTTCCCTATTCAAGCCATTTTTTCAATTGGGCTTTGTAATTTTTTTCACCCAGAGTTCTTATTTATTTTTATTAATTTTATTCCTAAGTGCTTTAATATTTTTGTTGCCATTAGGAATGCATTTTTTTTTTCCTCTCAATTACACTTGCAACATGGTTGATTCCAATGTACAGAAAAGTTGTTATTTATGTTGATTTTGTATCTTGCCAAATTGTTGAATTCTCTTCTTGGTTATAGTAACTTTTCAGTTGATTGTCTTGAATTTTCTAGACAGATGATCATGTCCTCTGTGAGTAATAGCAGATTGCCTCTTACTTTCCAATGTTTACAATACTTAATATGGTTTTACTTATTTCAATCCATTGGCTAGTGTGACCAATCTGATGCTAAATAGCAACAATGGCAATGGGCAATTTTAGTTTTGTTCCTTATTTTAGATACTCATTATTTCTAATAAGTATCATGTTTGTGGTACTTTGGGATAGACACTTTTTTTTTTATCAAATTAAAGAAGTTTCTTTTTAGTTTTAGTTTGCCGGAGTACGGCTGCAGCAGGAGTGGGAGCCGTTTATTGCAGGACAGGAGCAGTATTTATACATTCCACACAGCTTATCTAATTAGCATAAACTAGATACATCAGTCAACCAATCAGGAATCTCTACACTTAATGGCTCGGTTTTGTTACTTCTCAAACCACTCCCTCTGGCATTTTGCCAGGCACCATCCAGACTTGTTTACGAACTCTAACATTCCCCTGGCAAAATGCCAGGTGTTATTTTGACTTGTTTACAGACTCCAACATAGTTTACATGCATTCATACACACACACACACACACACACACACACGGGCATTATTTGTACATATATAATCGCAATTGAATCTTTGGGGTCCCTACTGAAATCATTTTTCTCCTAAATCATATGACCAAGTAAGCACATTACATTGGTTGTTCACTATCAAAAATCTATCCTGGGGCTGGGACTGTGGCTCAGCGGCAGTGCGCTTGCCTGGCGTTTATGAGGCACTGGATTTGATTCTCAGCACTGCATATAAATAAATAAAATAAAGATCTATCAACAACTAAAAAAATATTTTAAAAAATCCATCTTTGCATTCTGGGGATAAAATTTACTTGATAATAATGCACTGTTCCCTTAATGGATTGCTGAATTTAAATTTCTAATATTTCATTTGGCAATTTGCATCCATGATTGTGAGATTGATTTTCTTTCCTTATTTTAGAAAGCTTATGATACATACTTAAAAGATTTGGTAGCTTCTTCTATTTTTCCATGCTTGTTTAAAATATTAATTTTGTTTTTTAAAAACGATTGGTAATAGCTGCCAACAAAATTCTGTGGACCTGATTATTCTGTGGGGGGAGGAGGGGTGTAGGTATTTGAATACTATTCTAAGATTTTTGTGCCTTGGTGGATTCACAATTTCTTTCACATTTTTCTGATGGCATAAAAATTATAAGTTATATTTGTGTTTTTCTCATAGTTGTGGTTCAATTTTTAGCACATACAAGTATGTATTTTTTATTCAATAACCAGAATTCATCAGTGTCTTTCTACATTAGTTGAACAAAAACTAAATATTTGTGTGCTGCAATTGTACCTGAAGCATTCGCACCCAGCCCTGTTCCCTCCCATGTTGACATGTTTGGAATATTTGTTCTACATTGTTGTTCTAGAAATTACTGTCATTGTTGTTTTTAAAAAATCAACACTTAGGGTTGGGGTTGTAGATCAGTGGTAGAGCGCTTCCCTAGCACTTGCAAGGCCCTGGGTTCGATCCTCAGCATCACATAAAAATAAATAAATAAAATAAAGCTGTTGTGTCCAACTACACCTAAAAAATAAATATTTTTAAAAAAATCAACATTTATTTAGGATTAGGATATTCTGTGGAAATTTTTTTTTCTTTTTCAGAGTTTAGTATATGTTTCCTTTACTCTCGGTTTTCTCAAATGTTAGTATTGTATAACATCTATGTATGTATAAGTTTTCATTTAAATATATTTTACTTGATAATCAGTAGGTCCTTAAACTATAACTAAACTATATATATTGATAGATAGACATTCCTTCTATTTCCTCTAGTGTTTCTTTTAGTAACCCCAATTAGGTGGATGTTGGAACATTTGGGTCTACTTACATGATTCTTAACTTTCACTTTATACTTCATATCCCTTCATTACTTTTTATTGCATTCTGGAATAAATTTTTGGCTTAATGTTATGGTTTGGTATTATTTTCTTTGTGCCTGTTCTGTTATTTGATATATTCATTCAATATTCTATTTGAAAAGATCAAAATTTTAATAACTTTCAATTTGATTATTTTATATAAACTTAATATTTCCTCAAATATCTCTGTGGTTAATTCATATAGTTCTATGTAATTTTAAAATCTTATTCTGACTTCTTTATTAATTTTTATTTCTTCACTTTTAAAGTCAAGGGACTCGGCTTTCTCTCCTGGTAGTGGTGACCTTCCTCCCATGCTTGGTGACTCCTGAGTGTTCAAACTCCTACCTGGAAGTCCTGATTAGACTATCTGCTCTATGTTCCTCAGCAGCCTGTTTAGAGAGAAGGGCAGGATTTGTGGGTGAAACTTGTCTTTCACTCTGGTTTGAAGGGTACATGGGGAGAGGGTGATGCCACTGGTTGTGGTGACTCACAGATTAGCTTTGGGTGGACAGGGGTTGTCTCATTCCTCTTGGGTAGCTCAGGGCATTGTTTCTTTGATCCAGGCTTCCACACCTGTAGCTTCCAGCTGGAGCAACAGTTCTTGTTGCTGAAATGTGGCCTAGGTTGGTAGAGAGGGAGTGCGCAGTTCAACTTTGCTGGCTATTCCTGCTGCTGGCCTCTAACAATGACACTGCCTATTTTCCTGGCCTCCCTCTTGTCCTTAGTATCTATTCTTAACATTTCTGGCAGTACTCTCCTATTCTTGTTTTGAGCTGTGGTTTTAAATCTGTGCTCTAATGCCATCTGCTTTCTGTCTTCCAGTGTCTTCTCAAAGTTATGGACCTCCAAAGCCTGATACTGTTTTCCGGTTATATGAATTTTGAAAAATATCCTTTCTAAAATTTTAATGGTTTTCATCGTGAAGAGAAGAGTACAGTTCATTTTCATTCTATCATCCTAAGGTGGAAACCAGAGTGTGATCTACAATGCCTTGGGAGGTAGTTTTTGAAAATGAGTTTAACAAATCAGTTTGCAACACTGCCATTTCTGGTTGTGTATGTTGTTTTCTACAGAAAGGATAGTTAACAAGAGATAGTAACTAATTGTTAGTCATCTTTTCTGAGAACCTGCCTGTGGTATTAAAACCTATCAGTGACAAGTTCCACAAATGTTGAAGTTTAAACATTTGAGAAGCGCTGCAGCAAGCATATAAAGAAGGTTTTATTTAAAAAATAGTAACACAGACTTCTCTGGGAAGGAGAAGAGGGCCATAGCTGGTATCCTGGTATCCCAAGAAGTGACAGCATCCTGTCCCTTTTATACATTTTAGACTTTCTTTGTTCTCCTGCCCTCCCCCCCCCCTCCATCTCTTTCCTGGCCAACAGGTGAGAAGCACGTGGGCAGGATGAAGGGCCAATTGGGGTGATCCAGGCAGGTAGCAGCCCAGGAGGCATTAATCCTGTCTGTAACCTTTTGGGAAGGGTAGTATATGCAGGGAATCTTGGTAATCAAAGAGCTCTGAAGACATTAACATTCCAATCTCCCAGGTATTAACATTCCAATCTCTTCCAGTCTCTAATTTCCCAGACTCTAATGGGCCTTCATTTTTTTGATCTAACCAGATTAACCAATCTACACTGCCTGTTTTTAATTCTTGCTTCAGTAACATAGGGAAATCCCTGAGTGGAGGAATAGTAAGAAACTGGAGCTGTGCTGTCCTGTGCAGTAATCCCTTGGCTATTTAAACTAATTAATATAAAATAAAATAAAAATTAGGGTCTTCAGTCCTAGGAGTCATAGTTCCAGGTGACTCAGTCCCAGTTAACTAGTGGCTGCCATTCTGGACAGCACAGATACAGACTATTTGTGTCATCACAGAAACTCAGTTGGATAGTGCTGGCCTACAGGGTCTCTTAATTTAGGTCATTTAAGTCTTGACGGTTTTATCTCTGTGGACAACTACATCAAAGGTGGTCCCAAATTTTAATTGTCATAATCTAATGGTAAGATGAAATAGAGACACATGCTGAGTATAGAATAGGTGCTTGGTAAAAATTAGTTGATCAATAGATGCATACATGAAGACTAACAGTGAATTTCCACAGCTTGATGAACGATTGCATTCATCTACCCATTAATTTGACAAATACTTATCAGGTACCTATCATATGCTAGGGGCTGCTTAGGTGTTTAGAATTTATCAGAAAACAGACAAAGATTACCTCCCATGTGGAACTTACATGCTGGGGATTGGTAGATATTGTAAATAATTATCATAAAAATAAGTAAAGCATATAACAAGTTTTAAGGTGATAAATGGTAGGAAAAATAAAATGTAAGGCAGGGTAAGAGGGTAGATCAGGAGTGTGGGCATGGGTAGGGAAATTAGGATTATAATTTTAAATAAGATGGTCAAATTGCACTCTATGGAGAAAGTGCCATTTGAGTAAAAACCTGAAAGAGGTATGGAATAAACTGTGTGGTTATTATGGATAAAGAGTGGTCCATATAGAGGGAACAACATGGAGAGATAGCTCTGAGCCAGGTCCATGCTTACCTGTTGGAGGGATAGTAAAAGGGCTGGTGTGGCTAGGGCAGAGAGCAAAGGGTGAGGGTAATTTGAGAGAGGTCTGAGAGGAAATACATGGGCATATCAAGTAGAGTATGAAAGTCATTGTAAGAATTTTGTCATTTACTCAGAAAGGGTCTAGAGAAGAGAAAGAATATAATCCAACTTAAG